CTCATTCTGTTGGAGTTTATCAGGTTTGGTATAGTGACCTGCATGTACAAGTACATAGACATGCACATGAACCTGTTGGATTTTGTGAGGTTCAGTATGCTTTCTAGTGCAGGAGCCTGGGGGTTAGGGTTAATACACAGCCTCCTTGCATGTTTTTGATGTATGAATGTTGTGTTATGTTCCCTCCTATATGTTTGGAGTTTCCAGTTGTTTTTCTACGGTACATGTACAGTACATCATAGATTTTAAGGACACACAAGTGATAGAAATTTTTCAAAATCATTTTACATGGACCTTCACCCAACAGATCTTTATTGTTTTTGTCATAGTGAAATGATACCAAAATGTTGTTTGCTTTTATTAGTGTTTGACAGTTACACACACGTGCATGGATACTAATGACATTTTTTCTGCATTTCTTGATGGTGTGATATTGTACCGTACATTTCAAAACACAGTGAAATTGAATATTGTGTAGGTTATCCTCTTTTTTGTGTGTGTGATCGCAAGGAATTTGTGCTCAATTGTAAAAGTGTTTTTAAAAGTTTGTTTATTTTTATCACTTTAATGACAGTTCCCGTATTTTCAGAAAATCCCCTACTGTATAGAGATTTGATGATATTTCAATTTAAAGTTGAATTTTGTAGTTCTTACATACATGTAAATAATGGTTGTTTTCCACTGTGGAAGGGGTGGTTTTTTTTTTTTTTTGGTCTTGGTTTGATCATTTTGAAAGCATGAATGCAAACATGATCATGATACATATAAAAATTGTGGGAAAAAAATCTAGATCTTAATAGTGTAAGTTGGCTTTTTACTATGCAGGCCCACCCCTTTGACGAACTTCGGTTTGACGTCAGTATCAACGATAATGTCTGGTACCTGCGCTGCAAGAACACAGAGGACCGGCAGAAGTGGCTGGACGCTCTGGAGGCACAGAAGGCAGCAGCTGAGGCCGAGAGCACCAGTCTGCAACGCCAGGGCTCCATGCTGTCGTTGCATTCCACTGCTAGTCTGGCATCCTCTTCCTCTTTCAAGGTTTGCTGTTTTTAAAGTTTTGATCAATCAAACAGCCAAAATTTAACTGTGAGGAATCTATTTGCTGAAACACCTCTACAGTTCACGTCATCTCACTTGTACCTCTCAACGACAACCTTTCTTTGTGTCCTTTCCTTTTTTCTTTTAAAGAGAATATTTGAAATAGTTGGTTTGAGTAGTTTTGCACAGTTCACTTTCACCATCAGAAAGGGCATCTTTACTTTCACAAAATTGTTCAGGATTAATTGAATAGAAAAATGTAACTCAACAATTGTTGCACTTGACAACCAAGCAATCAAATAATACTCACTGGCAAAGTTCCAACATTGAAATGTTAAAAGCATAAATGAATCTTCAGCTATAACCAGTTCTAGATCACAGGCAGGTGATGCTCATGTAGCATATCTCCAAAAACTTATATTTTCCAGCATCTTATTAAAATTTGGTCATGATCTGAGCCCATACCTTGCTGTAGGAGCTTGCTGAAGAAATAGTAATGCCCATTGAAAATTTGAACAGATGGACAACCATTTGGCAGTATTAGGTGGTCATTTCCTGACCAAAGGGTAGACCACTTGTCATTGCTTAGTGCTCATTACGGTATATCTAAATGTGCTTGTGCAAATCAAACTTGCCTGTGAGGAGTAAGTTTCATTTTCTACTCTTTTGTTTAAATGCAGAAGGGGCGTGGTCTGCGAGAGAAGCTTGCCGAGATGGAAACATTCCGTGACATCCTCTGCCGTCAGGTGGACGCCCTGCAGGGTTACTTTGATGCCTGTGCTGAATCTGCTGCCGGGTCTGGAGACCATAGAAAATGGCTTGATGACCCATGTATGTTGAAAATACCAAATTGTATTGAAGCTGTTGATATTTCAGGAACCAATTTGAGCTGCTTTTTCACAGAAACGTGTTAACTGTGGAAAATATATGACGTGCAAAACTAGTAAACAATAAAAGTGCACATTTTAAATGTGATACTTGAGACTGGTTTCCTGCTCATTTTTGCTTAGCACAAAAAAATTGATAAGCAATGTTTGTCACTTAGCAGCTCTGTGACAGTGGGCTTGGATCATTTGCAAGTACTTGAACAGCCATGTATGGAGATTAAGGGAGGGCACCTTGTCACCCAAAATACCCTCCTTCGGTACATTATATCCACCCAACCTCTTTGTTTGAAGAGTGCCACTCCGCATCTCGGTTTTAAATTCCAAAACAAAATCTTATAAAAACATTAGCCTTCCCACCATCATAACTGATAAACAGATAAAAGCAGGTGTGACACCAGTCTCAGTTATAATCCTGTTGAGTCCCATCAGAAACTTTGATATTTGGCAACTGAGTCATCGTTCCTTAATGAATGGTTTTGCAGTAGTGGACAGCAACGATGACGAGGATGACATTGAAGATGAGTCCGGAACCACTCCTAGAGTTGACTCCCACATGAGGTTGACCCACACAAATGGTCTCTCAGCTCAGAGAGACAGAGGTATGTACTGTTAGGTTTGCGAACATCCCAGATCTTCCAAAATGCAACACCAAGTTTGGGCAAGTGCTTTGGAGGACTAAGAAAGTCGAGCCCAGCCACCATAGGTAGAGCCTGATGCTTTGAACCATACTTGTGTTGCCTTGATATGCACTTAATTGGGCATAAACAAGGTTTTACTGGCAGTTATGGCCATGTTCAATAAATGACAGTTGGTCAACCATTCGTCAATTTTACCTGGTACCCAGGATATATTTTATGCACTGATCACCAGGGAGAATCAACCAGCGGTTGATAAATGGCCGCTGATCAAACTTGGCTTATGTTGAATTTTTTGGCATTATGTTACATTTGGTTCGATTATGCTACTTGTAGCACAGTGCTTAGGGGGCCTTCAGTGGGATGAGCATTAACGCTAGCAGTCCCAAATCCTCCAATTTCAATATGATTTTACATACACCCTAGGGGGTTTGGGTTAACGCATGTACATATCTGTACAACTATTTCAAACACCTTGTTTGTCTTTCTACAGACAAACCCAACTTCCAGCCCCACCAGATGGGCATGGACTTCAAAGGGGAGGCGTTCACCTTCAAGGCCACCACAGCCGGTATCCTGGCAACCTTGTCACACTGCATCGATCTGATGAGGCAGAGGGAGGAGCAATGGCAGAAGAGGCTTGAGAAGGTGAGATTGCTGTGACGGAAAATCCAATTGTAGAGGAGAAAGAGAGGAGGTAGTATTGGGTTGCATTTTATCCTTTGATTGATCCTGGAAGGGCCAGAGTGTTGCCATTCTTACAGTTGCCGATATGCCAACTTGTACGATTTAGGGGTAATTTTTACGATTTGTTTAGTCTGTTTACGACTGTACGATCCAGACTAAGATTTTTACAATTTCCAACTCAAAGGTACAAAACCATACGGTTGTGTATAAACTCTACGTATGTAAGCTAGCACGGAGCCGGCCTAGTAATGTGCGCGTCAGAAATGTATCGCTGGCATCCCGCAGTTTGTGCGTACAAGCTGCGTGAGGAGCAGTAGAAACCAGCGTGGTTGAATCATCCGTTTGCCTCAATTAATGCTATGATGAATAGGGGGTGAATAGGCACGATTGCACTTCATATGCAACGTGATTGTGTACGTCCAAGCGTTGTACAAGTACCGATATCGTACACACGTGTGTCGAACATCGTGCGAAAAGTTGACCGAAGTGGAAAACTGTTGAGGATTTGATTCTTGGATATTTGGTGAGCAACTGGACTTGTTTTGCACAGTGGCAACAAGTGAGCTGAAGTTCAGGGACGAATATACCACAAAAATGGGCGTGTATTGCGAAGTCTTGTTGTGGAGAAGGTTATGTGATTTGCAACGCATGTAACTGTGACATGATAAATATTGCCCACGGTGGATCTTGCAACACTGAGTAAGCACATTAGTTTGGCCAAGAAAAAATAGCTCTGCTTCTGATTAAATAGGGTTGGTAGGTAAGGATTTGTTGACAATTTTTTGTGCTGATTGAATGGGACAAAAGTTGCCAAAAATTGCCACAAAAGTGATTAAAATAAAAACTTACCAGAATTCATGTGGAAATATAATTAACAATTAATTACAATTCACATTTACACAATGCTAGTCAGGTAAATACAAGTGTTTTGACATGAAAAGAAGTTGTTGACAGGTGTTTATTTTGAAAGAAAAGACAACAGCATTTTTTACAACTTTTTAAAAATTTTTTCTAATTTGCTGCTGAAAGTTTTCAGGGTTGCGCCGAAAAATTAGGGTCAATTGGGAAACCGCAACTGAAAGTGCGATAGGATTACACTTTTTCATTTTGAAAGTTGGCATCTCTGCAGTTGTTGCGGGGTTATCTCAAGTACTTGCTTTCAAGTGTCAGAGAGCTTGGGAAAACTCTGTCATTTGGAGCAGCCAGCAAACATCCAACACATACTTTGGAATTTCAAACAAGTGTTGGCCCACAGGATGTCATATTAGGAAGCTAAGAAACCCTCTCTCACTCACTTGCGGCGTCCTTGCGCATCACCAGGAAAAGGACATAGCTGTGATCAAGAGGTCATAGCACTCAACAGTGGAGACTGACGAATCGTTCACGTTGGAAGTGGGGTTGATTCTAAAACATTTTCACAGAAGTAA